ATGATTTATTTTGGAACGAATTTCCGTCATCCCTTGTCAAGTTTGGTTTGCAGTTATCTCCACGGCGATTTCTCTGTTTCCTGCTTTTTCTGTCAGTATTTTGGATAGGATATCTATTGTTTCCGTTATGGGTATCGATGGGTATAGATTTTTTATGTCGAATGATACCAGTTTAGTATCCATCGTGATAACTGAGTCTTTTAATTTGTCAATCAAATCCGTTGTACTAGATATTGTGTACTTATTGGGCAATCCAAGGTTATCCTTTAGTATAGTTTTTAAATAGTTTGATAGTTTGTAGCTTGGGGCCGATTTGTGGTTTATGATTGGTCTCATAGGTGTGCCTGATTTGTGGATTTTAGGTAGTGCATTCATCGGAGGAGCTGATGGATTCATAGTTGTCAAAGTATGTATTTGGTTCGCCTTTATTATTTTTGTAGATTTCTTTATAGTCTCTTTTATTGCGGCATGGTATTCTTCAGTAGGATCCTTTACTAATTTCTTACAATTGGTTTCTTTGATAAGTTGTTTCGTTTTTTGTATGTACTCTTCTTTATTCATTAGTACAGTTGTGTTTCCTTTGTCAGCTTTGGTTGTGATTACGTATTTTTTAGTTTCTGTTTGAGACCTTTGATTATATTATTTTCGTTGCTCTGTTTTTTGTTTCTATTGGCTTTGATTTCCTTTTCAATTAACTGTTTGCACATGTGTCTAGTGTGTTCCTGTTCCTCTTTCAGCAGCATAGATATGGCTATCTCCGCATCTACAATTGTCTGCTCGATCTCCTTTTTCTTATTATAATTCTGGATATTATGTTTGAGTCCCTATTATAAAATTCGCGCTTCTTCTTTGCTGATGGGAACTTCTGTAAGATTTACGAACCTGGCATGGAATTCAGGTTTCTCTATCTCTTATTTATTCATTTCTTTTTGATTTGTTTGTAACTTTTCGAGATTTCCTTTCAATTTGTTGTACTTCTTCTCCATGTATTTCCTTATGCGCGTTTTTGTTTGATCAAAAAGCTCCGCTGACTCTAAATGAATTGATAGCACCTCTGCGTTTGTTTGTTCCTTTTTGGCGTAAAGACTTTTCAATTCGTATTTTAAGTATATTCTCTCTGCCTTCTTAATTGTTTTACTGCATGCCTCTGTATTTGATCTTAGCTTCATTTGGGCAAACTTTGGAGTGACATTCATTGCGCGACATTGTTCATTAAACCATAAGCCTTTGTATTGTGTATTTTTAATAGACGTCGTTCATATGTGGTCAAAAGTATGTTGGTTCTGAGATAATAAGCCTGACTAGCCTTATTTGTGTGTTGGAGTCGGTTGATTTTTCCGACAGGGTGGTAAGATGATTTATTTTGGAACGAATTTCCGTCATCCCTTGTCAAGTTTGGTTTGCAGACAAACCGGTTTCGGCATTGTGCCATCTTCAGTATCATTTTTCGTTCTGTCTGGTTCGAGTTTTTTTTCCTTAATTTATGTTTATTTATCTTAGGTAATTTGATTTTCGTCGATGATTAATTATTAGAAATGCCATGGTGTCCTTTTTTTATTTTAGAAGCAGGTAATAGGTTAATCTTCGCTGTCACGATAGTAACATCCGTTACGTTGTCTCTGTATAGTTTTTGCCTGTAGGTAAAAGTCGGTGATTTTTGTCCTGGTGGTACTTTGTGGTGTGTTCGGAGCAATAACCACGCCCACCTCCGATATAACGGTAATTTTCAGAAATACGAACACTGCGATATTTTAGTAACTACATAAGATTATTCACTCAAAATTGATATTTACAACAATTTTTAGACGAAAAATAAGAATACTATAAATTTTTTGAAAATGGGCGTAGCCACGCCCACTTATGGTTACATGTGCATATCTTGGTAACCGCTGCACCAATTTCTTCCACACTTCGCACGGTCGTTGGCCTTGGTAAAGCATACCAAATGGCCGAAAATTGTTAAAATCGGACAATAACCACGCCCACATCGCATATAACGGTAATTTAGATAAATACGAAATCTTCGATAAATCAGTAAATATTAGTGCTAATTTATTCAAAATTGATGCTTGCAAAAATTCTTTACCAAGAAATCCGTTTATGATAAAATTTTGGAAAATGGGAGTGGCACCGCCCACTTATGATCACACATATGTATCTCGGTAACCGTTCTACCAATTTTTACCAAACTCGGTATTTTTATTGTGATTGCCACATTAAAGCCAAGCACTGAAAATTATTGAAATCGGATCAAAATAACGGCCGCTTTTCATATAACGGTAAATTTCAGAAATGCTTGAATATTCAATATCTTGAAATTTAAGGACGCTAATTTACTCAAAATTGATACACCCCGGCTTACCATGTAGCGGTAGCTTTCGGAAAGGTGAAAAACATGTATGTAATACTTGCGCCGGGTATTTAATGTTCGGCTCCGCCCGAACTTAGACTTTCTTACTTGTTTTATTTTGAAATCAAAAAATCGCTCAAAGCGCTCAAAGTTTTCCATGTACTTTTATATGGAAAAAATAAATTTTTTCGTAGAAATGGTATACAATTATTGAAATTCAATATTATTCGATCTTGGTTCTCTTCAGGAGACTTTCAATAATAATACCCAATTGTTTATTTAACCATTTATTAATACTAACGATTTTTTATTGGTCGCCCCATTGCATTTTTCGAGGTTTTTTTGCGTTTTTGGCGGACCTATAAATTATAGTTGCAATGAAAAAATGGTTAAGTAAACAATTGGGTATTATTACTGGGAATCTCCTGCAGATAAACTGAGTTTTCTGGTAGAAAAATATTAATTTTTAACTATTCTATACCATTTCTACGAAAAGTTGTTTTTTTCCCCATATAAAATACATACATGGAAAACTTTAGGCATTTTGAGCGACCTCTTAATATTTTTTGATTTCAAAATAAAAAATAAGGGTATATTTTTTCGGTATAGAACAATCCTAGGGCGTGAGAGCATAAAAATTCCGACTTTTGAGATGGACATTTTGCGTACTGGCATATTGTTACCGCCACAAGGCAGCTCCCCTGTCAAATGCGGTTTCTATACCCTCGTTAATACTACTTATACATATTGTCACCTTACTTTTTGCTACCAAAAGTCGACCTACCTAATGTACCAAAACAAGTGCCATTACCAGTGCCCAACAACAACAATACACAAGGGCCAACCAAATAAACAAATATAAGCACAAAAAGGAAGTGACAAAAAAATTGCAACCGGCTGACTCAGTGGAGACGGCGGGGTTGCTGGTGGGGAACACAACAAAACTAGGTGTTACAATCAGAGGACCGAAATTATGATATGTAACAACAACAACCATATATGGAACGGCACCAACTATTAATATGTATCAATCTACCGACTAGAAGGTTACGAACCCACTCGCAATACCACCTAATCTGCCGGGGGTAACTTTAACCCGCCAAGTGACTCGGCTCTGGGTGCGGGATGCTAAAGGGAAGGGATAGGGAACACAATAGGGAAAAACTACCGACAACTCTACTAGCCAACTACAGGCAGCAACACAAATGATAATTCTGCATGGTCGGGGTGTGCGTCGACCACTGGGTGCTTCTGCGGTGCTACGCCGCCCAAATCCGCCACCGACACTGCCGACTACTTTATCTAGCGCCTCGACTGGCGCCACTTCTTGTTTTGCCTGCTCGCCCGCAGTCTAAGCGCCTCTCCTGGCACTTATACAAAACCACGTAAACAACCTCGGTACCGCGTGTGGTACTAGATCACTCGATAAATAATACACTTTAGAATAAACAAATCCGCACACAATAGGGATGTTTCCCTGATCAATGCTCACTTAGTTCTGCCCCGGCGCGCAGCTAAAAGTTGGGCCGCTACCTACGTGCCGGTCCACAAAACCATCGGGCCTCAGTGCTGGTGTTGTTGTTGCCCGATCAATTGGCGCCGGCCGGTTAATTCTTAAAACGAATAGGGCGCTTTGGCGGTCGCCACCATGACCAGTTCACTTGCTAAAATCGAGAAAATGAGGAAACTCGTACAAAATCTACTTTTTATTAAGGTATAAGTTCTTGAGCGGTCAGACCTCGGGGTTTTAAGAGATTTATTTGTGGGTTCTGAGGAAAATAAGGTCAGGTATTAAAATATTGTGCCAGTTACCAAATGTGAGCAAAAAAGGCTGCTGTAACTGAATTTCGCGTATTTAAAAAAAAAAAACGTGAATTTTCTTGTGGTAGTCATTGAGCGGTACTTATTTAACATTCAGAAGAAGAATCCTAGGTTAAAGGACAACGTGCTACTTATCATTACTGAAAAATCTTCTTGAGAAAACGCGTAATCAGTGCGTAATTTTTTACTTAATATTGGTTTTTTCGTTGAGCACCACCAATTAAGGGCAAAACAAATCATAAGCCCTGGTGTAATATTTTATGTTTGTGTATTTGGGTCTGTGTAAAAAATGCTCACCTCTAAAGATTATTTGAGTGGTCAGTACTGGATAATCCTTGCTGATATAAATGCGAATGGTTTGTTTGTTACGCTTTCACGCATTAACTACCTCAGCCCAACATAAAAGATAGGGTCTCTTTTATCTCGATTAAAAAAAGGGGTTTGGCACCTGCCATACAAAACGAAATTTTCATACCACATACCTCTGGAAGTATTTGCGGTAGAGTACTGGAACTTGGTATGGAGATATATGTATGCGAGTTACTTCAACCTTGAAAATCTAACTTGGCCGGGCTGATAGAAAACAATTTTGAAAATATGGTTTAGTTAGAGTAGCAATTAAAAAATATTAGTTACGCGGATTATAATAGTTGCATTCGTTTATTTTTCCAGCAATAATTCTCCAGCAGATAGATTCTGGTGAATTACCGTCTGATCTCTCACAAATAGAAAAATATTCAAAATAGTAAACGAACAGAAAACTATCAAAAACCTGTAAGTTTCAGTTGGCAGCTTGTTTAAATTCAAAATCAAAAGTGCAATAAGGAACATGCGAGATTTTAAAAAGCTGGGCATAGTGTGTTCTCCAGGCACATTCCGTAGAGTCCAAAATGGTAAGTACTCAAAAATTTGTATTTGAAACGTATTGGCTATTGCCTTTATTTGTTAAAACCAAGGAATGAAACCGATTCAAAATAACGTTCCGGTTTGGGTTTCGGTTTTGCCAAGTGTTTCGGTTTTGGTTTCGTTCTTCAAAATTTATTTGGGTTTTGGTTTCGGTTTCGTTCCGGTTTCGGTTTTTCACAGAAATTTTGTTGATATTATTTAAATCACAATGTCTTAAACGTTGAGGAAATAAAATCGAAAATTACAGTTCACTGATAATATCAACACTAGGTTCTTTCCCTAACAATCCGGACCGGATTTGGTAATTAGAGAATAAGAGAAACATTTTCTTTCAAAAATGGAACAAAGTTCAGAAGTACGGAAACGCAAAAACCCACATTTCGTGCCCACAAGTCGAGAAACAGTGATTCACGTTGTTCTTGTTTTTGTCACTTATGCCATGTTCTGACCGACATCGGAAACATGTTTTCGTTGCTAAAACTTTTTTTTTTCGATTATTTATCGAAGTGGAAGTCATATTTTATCATCTTTAATACGCCATTTTGGATTTATTGTTAATTGCCTGGCCAAAGCAAAATAAGAATGAAAGTTAAAGGTTGTAAATGAAAAGAAAATGAAGGAAAAATGTTTTGGTTGTCGGTCAGAACATGGTATTAAATGCAAACACTTGGAAATTGAATTTTGGTTTCACAAGTTTTATTTTAAGTACATAGATTGAAAATACATCAACAGGCCATTCACTTTTCCTTAAAAGCACCAGGTAAATGCAGGCAACATGTAAACACAATACAGCTGATATGCACTTTGACACTTTATCCATTTTTACTCGGAGAAAATTTCGGGCTATTTCGGGCAGGAAGAAGAATACACTTACGATCGAATACGCTCGAATTTTCGCTCTCTATTACCCATTTTGTTGAGTACAGGCATGATTTCTGGGCTATTTTGGGCACACGCGGGATCTCGCATTGCGTACGGGAAAGAAGCTACTTAAATATAATTAATCGATTATCGATTCACAACAACAAAGTCATCAGCAGATTTTTGCGAAAAGTTACCTTGCCATACTTATTTACTACTTAACAAGAATTTTAGCAAAATGTTGCTGATTTTGGTTAAATAAATCATTTATTTCTAAGAAATTTGTATTTATTATTTTTGTAAATTTCTGGAAACCGATTGAAACCTGTGATTGAAATGGTTTCGGTATCGTTCCTTTTCAGGTCAAGATAACGGTTACGGTTTCGGTTTCGGTTTTGAAGAACGAAACGGTTTTAAACGGTTACGGTTTCGGTTTGGGTTTCGGTTTCATTCATTGGTTAAAACTATAGATGTGGACTACCGAGCAAAAATGGCAAGTGAGCTTGCCGGCGACGAAATGTTTGGGGAAATTGTTCTTTCCCAAATTATTTCCGACGGAGTGGCTGATGAGCCACAGGTTGTTCAAGGAGGGGATGTAGGGGATATTCTTCCGAGTTGTAGCCAGGATGAACCGGAGGTTGTTCAAGAAAGTGTGATGAAGTACACTTTATTCCAAATAGTAACCAGGCGAACTCGGTCAAACACTAACATATGTGTAAGTGCCAATCTATTATTATTATCAACCAGGAGAACAAGGCTCAGTGGCTTGATGCACCCACAAAACTACTTATTTCATTGGTGAAGTTGGGAGGAGTGCCAGCCTTCGGAGAAAAAAGCATTAGCAATGAACTTTGTGCTAAGGGCTACGTTTTCAGTGCTGCACAATTGGAATCGAAATTTTTCGGGTTGGAGCGCCGCTACAAAAACACCCAAATTAATAATACTAAAACCGGCAGAGCAAGGCAAACTTGCCCTTTTCAAGCGTAAGGCTTGCAAAATTCTATTTTGACATTTTTATTATAATCAATCGAATCTTTGGGTATAATTGCAGTGATCTGGACGGCCTTTTTAAAGAAAAGGCATCGATTCATCCAAGCTGTGTAGTCGACAATGAGACTGAAATTATTTCTGAAACCGCTAAAGATATGGGTGCATTTTTTGAGCCCTTGACATCTATAATAGGTATTAACGAATTGAAAGATATGTACATAAAGTGGGAAGCAAAACTGAGTGCATGGCGATTTTTCTAAATATTTGCAAGGTTTTTAAATAATGTTATTTCTGTATAGAAACGTGGTTCATTCTCCATGAAAATCAAACTTTTAGTATTTGTACAGAGCTTAGAAAAATTCAACAAATTTTCATCAAACTTAAAAATCTTGCAAATATTTAAAAAAACACCGCCATGCGTTTCAGTTTGCTTTTGAATTCTTGAATTCATTAAAATACTTACCTATTCAAGAACAAACTGTAAATTCGTTTGATTTTTTTCAAGATTTGACATCTCGAACAGAGGTGCCACTTTTTGTTAATTTAAATAAATAGCGAATGTCAGCTGTTTAGTGTCGTTAAAGACAAATTAGTGAACCGATCAATTGTTACTGCAAGCAACAAGAATATTTAACTAACAACTCGTAAAATCGCGTCGTTAAAAGTTAGTTAATCGCACTTCTGATAAGATCTGGCATAAGCCTGCAACTTAGAGAACGAAACTATAAATATATCAATGGCGTTTAAATTTTTTTTAATTACTACGTTCACCCTTACGCATGTTCTACGCAGGTAAAGAAAATATTACAATTGTTTGAATTAAAATTTACTTCGCTAATATTCAGTGTGTTGCATGTTGTTCTGAAGTCAAATAACCAAAATTCAATAGTTGCCTGGCAGGATCACAGTAATTGATTGATGAAAAGTATTAACATCGAAAAAGTATGTTCCATCATGTCCTGAAATAAAACTTTCAAATTAAGAAAGCATTGAACATACTGATTCCTATAGATAGGACTTGTCCTCTTATCCTAGCAGAAGTCCTTGGCAGGCCGGCTTGAAAGGAGGGAATTTTTCCAAATATCACAGTGCGCTTGGATAAGGTTTAAACCATCCAATTTTTCTCCAAAATCTCATTCTGTCATCACTTGGTATGATTTGAGCTAACTAAGCTAAAAATCTTCGTCTTTCCATCGCAAATAATCGGCCCTATTATGGTTTTCGACGTCAAAAAATAGCCCTTATCAGTCTAAATCCGGTTTCGCTAATCACAGTAGTTTCGGGAGGAGCACCTTACTGCAAAAACGCTGTGGTCAGCGTTGGACTTGCGAGAGCTGTTTTTGACGAAAAAATTACCTCGACGTCAAGAACCATAAAAGGGCTGAATATTCATTTTACTGTAGTGCAAAAGTAGTTTTCTTGAGCTTTAAAATTAGCAAAAACCGCGAATACCCATGTTTTTAGCTATTTTCTGCGATGAGTCAACATACTCTCTTAAGCTTGTGAAAATCCATGTAAAAGTAGTATCCAAGCCGTTTTTGTGTATGTCAGAAGATATGACATTTAGAACTTTGAAAAATGAGAAACCAAAGTGTTTTCAAAGGGATATGTGCTCAATAACTTTGTTGGTTTACAAAAAATCGCAAAAAGAAAGAAAATATTTTTTGAACAAAACTTAATTTCCAATATATTGACGTAAGTTCCGTCTTATTCGCATGGTCCAAACCAGAAATATGTATAATGAACTGAACATGGAGATTTTAACTGCAGCTTCATAAAGACTGGACAATATTCTTGAAATATGGTCCTAACTATTATCTTGTAGGTCATTTCAAGCTCGAATAAAATCTTTTCCATGGTCATTATTTTCATGGGAATTTCTTTATCCTTCGAACATTTGGAAAAAGGGAACACCTTTACCTAAAATTATGCCCTTGACCAAGACTTTGCCAGTGACCTTGAATATTATCTCAAGCCCTTGTCGATGATACCTTTTGAGCATACGGTAAGTACGTATGTACAAAAATCCTTCGCTAGGGCAGGCACCTTGTCGTTGGTGCGGGGGCTTAGCTGCATCACCAACCAGCCCTCTTCTGGTTTGAGGTAACGCGGATGTGCAGACCTCCGCGCTACCTTCTCTCTAGACTTGGGCTGCTGGAGAACAGTGACTAAGAACTATCACCTCCTAATCCAGGGTGTTAAGCGACACCGCGCCTATTGGACGATTTGCAGCCAGGAGGCCGGCTGTATTTGAACGGCGGCTTTCCGACACCGGGCCGCATCGGCGAGTAACGGTGGCCTTACCGCGACAAGGGGCGCTGGTGCGGCGGACTTTTGGAGATCCCCTATGAAAATTTAGACCACTGAGCTCGCCTTGTCGAGAAGGTGGTCGTACGAACTAGATGATGACGAAAACAACAAAAAACAACTACCAAAATAAAAATAAAAAAAAATATTTGACCACAACAGCCACAACTACAGCAAGTACAGTAACAATAACAACCGCGGTTTCAAATGCGGTGGGTGCAACAGCAACACGCACAACAGAGGCACTGGAGACGCCAAGAGAGAGCAGCGTGCGGGAAGGCCCAAGAAGTTCTGGGCGGAAAGGCAGTTTCCTAGACCAGCTAACCGCCGAGGAGGCAGCGCTGTTCATCGAACATGTAAGGGACGATGACCAACCAGGAACCAGTGCAGATGCGCTACGTTGCATGGGCCAGAGCAAAACAGGTAGTTTTAATAACAGACATTTGACAGGAAATCACAATTTACCTGCCGAACTAGATCGGCCGCAACACCGGTCCGGCAGTTCTCTTTGCAGGTACAGAGAGACAGCAAGGTCAGACAGAAGCCACCGCACCGATGGTAGTCACCGCTCCAAGAACCGGTATCGCTCGGGTAGTCGGCGTCCCTCTACGAGTCGACACTGCTCAAAAAGCCGGCAGCGCTCCAAGAGCCGACGCCGCTCCGAAAGCGGTCACCGGGCGGAGAAGGAGAGACTCCATAGGTCGCACAGCAGTAGCGCCTCAGCAACGTTCGACGACTCCGAGTGGCAGAAGCAGAGTAGTAGGAAACACCGCAGGGCAAAGCCTCCTCCGATGTGCGGCTTCGCGAGGGCTTAAGCAGTTCCGGGGTTAAATGGTACCTCGGGCAAGGCAAGCCCTCAGTTGAAGCCAGAGCTATGGCAGAGGAATGAGGGACGTGAGAGACACAGAAAAGGCGACAAAGCCGCACCCGCCGATAGGTGGAAGAGCGGGCCCAACAAACAGGCACACTTACCCGCACCTGCTGAAAAGCAGAAGAGCGGGCCACAGCGACAACAGCAGCACCGACCCGCACCCGCTGAAAAGCGGAGAAGCGATGAACCACCAGGCTCCAACAAAAGAGGTAGCAACCAGGTCACTCCGCCAGAGACACCGGGCACCAAACGGCAGCGGGAGCAGCCACCCCCTCCGAACTCATGGTCTAGGAGCCTGGCCGGGGCGATCGAGCAAGGACAGGCATAGGGGGGTGCCACTCAGCAACCCAGCTATTCGGAAGCCCTCAAAAGCATTCGGGTAGCGGTGCTGCCTTGTGAGTACCCTGCTACTGCCCTGAGCTCGGAAGACCTAACCAGACTCCAGGATGCCATCATGGAAGAGGTTTTCAAAGGATGGTCGCACCCGCTGGTGTTCTGTGGGGTGTACTTAAGATCCGGTATGCTCCTGGTTGACTGCAGGGACGAGAGAACAGCAACCTGGCTGGTGAAGAAAGCACCGGAACTTGAGGGCTTGAAGGGACCCGAGATGTGCACGAAGAGGGGGAATGACATCCCTCCAGTACATAACATCACGGTGTTCCTGCCAAGGAGCGCCCATTTGCCAAAATGTTTTAATATTCTTATTTTTATACCCGAGCGCACTTGTGCACAAGGGTATTATAACTTTGTTCACATAACGGTTGTTTGTAACAGACAAAACGAATCGAGATAGATATAGACAAATGTATACATAAATGATCAGGATGAAAAGAGAAATCGATTAAGCGGTGACTGTCTGTCCGTCCGTCCTTCCGTCCGTCCGTCTGTGCACACGCTAACTCGAGTAAAAATTGAGATATCTTAACGAAACTTGGTACGTGAACTTCTTTTGGGCGTAGGACGGATGGCATTGAAAACGGGCGAAATCGGACAATAACCACGCCTACCTCCCATATAACGGTAATTTTCAGAAATACGAAAACTGCGATATTTTAGTAACTACTGAAGATTATTCACTCAAAATTGATATTTACAATAGCTTTTAGACAAAAATAAGAATATTATAAATTTTTGAAAAATGGGCGCAGCCACGCCCACTTATGGTTACATGTGTATATCTTGGCAACCTCTCCACCGATTTCTTCCAGACTTGGCATAGTTGTTAGTCCTGGTACAGCATACCAAATGGCTGAAAATTTTTAAAATCGGACACATCCCATATAACGGTAATTTCGAGAAATACAAAATCTTCAATAAATCAGTAAATATTAAAGGTAATTTATTCAAGATTGGTGGTTGCAACAATTATTTACCAAGAAATATGTTTATGATAAAATTTTGGAAAATGGGCGTGGCACCGCCCACTTGTGATCACATATATGTATCTCGCTAACCGTTCTAGCAATTTGTACCAAACTCGGTATGGTTATTGTGCTTGCCACATAAAAGCAAAACTTTAAAATTTATTGAAATCGAACTAAAATTACGGCCGCTTTCCATATAACGGTAAATTTCAAAAATGTTTGAAGCTGCAATATTTCGAAATTTAAGGACGCTAATTTACTCAAAATTGATACACCCCCGCTTACCATCTAGCGGTAGGTTTCGGAAAGGAGAAAATCATATATTTAATACTTGCGCCGGGTATTTAATGTTCGGCTCCGCCCGAACTTAGACTTTCTTACTTGTTCGTCTAAAACTCATTGTAAGTATCAATTTTGAGTGAATTATCTTTAGTAGTTACTAAAATATCGCAGGTAGGCGTGGTTATTGTCCGATTTCGCCCATTTTCAATACCATCCGTCCTACGCCCAAAAGAAGTCCACGTACCAAGTTTCGTTAAGATATCTCAATTTTTACTCGAGTTATCATGTGCAGAGACGGACGGACGGACAGACAGTCACCGCTTAATCGATTTCTCTTTTCATTCTGATCATTTATGTATACATTTGTCTATATCTATCTCGATTCGTTTTGTCTGTTACAAACAACCGTTATGTGAACAAAGTTATAATACCCTTGTGCACAAGTACGCTCGGGTACAAAAAAGCACTAAAATGGCACCAGGCACTAAGTAATTTTTTTTTGGCGTTTTAATTTTCAAAAAGCACTAAATCTAGTGCTTAAAGCACCAAGTTGGCAACTATGTCGCTGGGGATCTCCTCAAATTTTTGGGCTCTCTAGGATTAGATGAGGTACTGTAAACGGTTGAGGGCACAATAGACCTGTTGGTCGCAGTGCTACCACTATTAATTATCTATTTTATCTATCTATGTACAAAAATTAAACTGATAGTGAAATTGTGGCAATAAAAGTGAAGTGAAAAAAAACGTACCGTTATCTTTGGCTGTGGGAGCATTAGTAACTATATGGTAGATAGTTGTTCAACACTACGAATCACAGTTAATTTCAGGCCTTATATCTAATTTGGAGTTTTTTTTTTTTATTATTTTCGTCGATGTAGTAATAATAATAAATTGGCGCACACATATGTTAGTGTTTGGCCGAGCTTCTTCTCCTGAACGATTTCAAAAAATTGACTTTACACCTTTTCAAGCTTAGATAACGATATTACTTTGAAGAAGAAAACCAACTTAGCAAAGAGCTCAAAATCGTTGTAAAAATACGCTCTCAATAGCAAAACGTGCTAATATATAAAGGGTAATTTTTGACCCAAACAAGTAATATGTACTAAGATCAATAAAATAATATAAAAAACTCCAAATTAAATATAAGGGCTGAAATCAATAGTGATTCATAGTGTTAAATAACTTTTAGTATAAACGGAAAAAATACTATCAACTATGACCCTCCCTATAAGGAAGTAGGGTAAAAAATTCATTAACATATACAAATGTATGTACAATATTACAAATAGAGGGTCCTCCAATTCACGCCGCCTAAAAAACGGCAAATGGCTCTTATGAGGCCTTTTCATGGAAAAAATTTGCGATTGCCTGCCGAGCAGTGTCGCCAGTTTAGTTTTCCGGCTAGATTTAGCCGGTTGCGATCGCAAATAGCCGGAGAAAATTCGGTTTACCTTGCAGCCGATTTGTTAGCCGCTTTGCAAACAAAATTAGCCGTTTTTAGCCTATTTTGCTAGTTGCCTAATTTTCTTAAAATTCAAATATACACGTTTCCACTTCATCCTTCATATGACTATTTTGTTATTTATTGCAACACAAATATTTAAATAAAATTTGCATTTTTATTTCTATACATATATAAGTGAATACGCTCTGAATGTGTAATATTTTTTGAATAAAATCCAATAGATTTTTACATAAGAAAAATTTAGCTCTTTATTTTTTAAATGCGTATTTTAAGTATGTTTTTGATATTATTTGTACATTGCACAGTGGCCAATTTTTGGAAAACTCTGGCCAAAAGTCCAAAAAAAATTGGTGCATTCGTATGCATAACCACCTTATATTGTTAGGAGGGCTCTACTGCGTATCGTTATGAGACAACAAATCGATTCTCTTAAGACATTTAGTGTTACAGGAGATCGAAGTGACTGTTGCTAGAAATTCGCTCTAAACTTTTCGTAAATTAGAGTTTTTGTCGTTGTTAAAATCGTGGTATTATTTAAAAAAAAAATAACAGTTTTCAAGCATCCGCTCATGGACATTGTAATCTAGAGTATGTAAAACATGTTTTTTCATTGTCACGCCATCTAAAAACTGACGTAAGACGTAGATATTCACGGATTGATTTCTTTTTGTTTACTCACTATGATGGATTAGGAAAATAGTTACGAGAGTGGTCGAGATGGGCGGTCTAATTTTCTTTTTCATATATACTGAAGTTTTTCCCGTGATTCTTATTTTTTTTGTGTTTAAAAGATTTAAATTATGTAAAAAATTATTTCTGTCAAGATTTTGATGTTTTAAAGATTGGATGTTTGTAGAATTTAAATGATGTCAGAAAGTACTACTATATTAGAGTGCTCATCTATGGGCCTCTCATTATTGAATGCCAATTGGGCAACTTTCCGAAGCCGAAGAGTCAAGGAATAAGGATATTAAAAAATATCGCCGCTTGTATCTTCGGACCCTGTCATTTGAAGTTTACGTTTAAACCCACCAAAACAATATCATAAACTGTCGTCAGATGCCATTAAATTATTATCAACTGTTGTAAATGCGGATGCGGAATTGCCATCAGAAAATATAGATATGAGCTTGGATACTTCAGATGACTGCGAGTCTGACGGTGTATAAAATTGTTATCTTAAAAATATATTCCTGTACCAACAAATATGTATGTCTTGTTTATTCATTCATTCAGTATCCCGCAGTTCCCGTGTAAATTTGAACATCAAGATTTTTAGAAACAAACATTAAGACCACGTTAGTATTTGTCCGAGCTTCTCTTCCGATTTGTGGCGTGCGTCTTGATGTTGGCGCACAAAGGGGAGGGACCAACAGTTTTACGCCGAATCCGAACGGGGGTTTTATTTTTATGAGAAGCTGTTCTCATAAGTGAATACACTCGGGGGTTTTCCATTGCCTGCCGAAGGGGGACTTTATAACAAAAAACATGTTTGTTTCTTATTTTTTCATGTTGGTCGGAAACTGGGCTTGAACCCAGGCCCTGCGGAATGATAACGTATATTGCTAACCGCTACATCACATTATATAACAAAAAAGCAGAAAACATGACCTTTTATACTTAACTACCTTAGTTTGGCTAAAAATCTGATTATTTTAAGCGTACACAGCTGCCATTATCGATCCGCCATTTTGAATTTCGAAATTATTTGGTGAAACTTAAAACCAGCAACCAAAATAAAGACGAATACACAAGGTTTGATTACAATTGTACCACGCTTCGACCTTTGGCCAGCTTTTTCGAAAAATTGGCCACTGTGCATTGCAGAGATTTTTTAAATGCTTCAGTTGCTTGGTGTACCAAGGTGACTTATATATTCTGTTAGTAGTTTCGGATTAACGGCAGGGCCGAGACCCACGGCCACCACATTTGGAGCCCTCACATGTGATAACGATAGAACAAAAATTTTTTTTTCAGAGATTACGGAAAAGATGTCTTTTAGAAGATTTGACAGAACCATCAATATATCTTGCGTAGTTTAGCTTCTTATGGCTCTGATGAGATTCTCGACTCACCCAATAATGGAAATTTTCGTGGTACGCTGGAATTAATAGCTCAGAACGACCCCCGGGCATATCAAAGAATACGGAAATAAGAGACGAGGGCACGTGAATTACTTATCAACAACCTGCCAGGAAATAATAACATTGAGGG